TCTCTTCTCTTCTCTTCTCTTCTCTTCTCTTCTCTTCTCTTCTCTTCCCTTCCCTTCCCTTCTCTACTCTACTCTACTCTACTCTACTCTACTCTACTCTACTCTACTCAATTTCTATTCTATTTCTGTTCCCAATGTATTCTATTCTTGCCTTGAAAAAAAAAAATGAAAATAAGAAACCAATGTTGTAATCCAAAATATGCCAATAAAGATAAAAGTCATGATGTTGGATGTATTTTTTGAATCAAGTTGCTGAGCCTTTTCTCAATTGTGAGATATTTAATGCACAAATTATAAAAGAAGAAATCTGGGAGCGGGGGGAAAGCACATAAGACATATACATGTAGTCCTTGGCTTACGTCCATTCATTTTGCAACTGTTCAAAATTATAATTAATGAGAGATCCAACCTAAAACTAAGGAGAAATTTCCTCTCAGTGAGAACAAGTTAATCGCTTGCCTCCAGAAGTTGTGGATGCTCCATCGCTGGAGGTTTTTAAGAAAAGATTGGACAACCATCTGTCTGGAATGGTATTGGGTTTCCTGCCTAAGCAGGAGGTTGGACTAGAAGATCTCCAAGGTCCTTTCCAACCCTATTATTCTATGTTCCCTGTTCACCCCTGATCCTCCGTCTGTGCTACAACGTAGGAAATATAAATAATGGACCTTGTTGATGGTTGTCTGATTTTCTCCAGGCATTTTCAGTATGGCTGTATCAACCCTTGCATAGGCAGGGAGGATATCACATTAGGAAAGGATGTTTTGACAATCTAATTCTTCACAGATAGTCCATTGTTTAAATTCAGAAAGCCTTTTTGGGCAGTAAGCCTGTCACCACCTCTCAAGCCTTTGCAATGCCAGGAAGTCTTAGAACTAAAGTGGGGTCTTGGGGAAGTCCCCATCTTAACATCTTAACTTAATGTATATACTTTTACATCTGATTATTCTGTGACCCAGGCATCTCCTAGAGCAGTGGTTCTCAACTGTGGCCCTTTGAAGATGGGTGGACTTCAATTCCCAGAATTCCCCAGCCAGCTTTGCTTTGCTGGCTGGGGAGTGGGAGATTGAAGTCCACTCATCTTCAAGGGTCCAAGGTTGAGCAGTCTTTCTTAACTTCAACAACTTTAAGTGTGGACTTCAACTTCCAAAATACACTAATTGGTTCCTGAAATTGTTAGACAAATTCTGTGTCAGCAAAAGGCCACATTCCAGCTACTCTTGGTAGAATGTTTTTACTTAAATCATTAAAATCACAGATTTTTGGTTTCGTTCCACCTCGCTTAGCCAAGGAGAGGAACTTCAGAGGCATTCATGTTTGCTTTTGAGAAACTATAAACTGCAGAAAGACCTAAAATTATGATTAATCTAAACAAGCCATCTTCACTAATTACAGATGGAAGCTGGCTTTCTTTGAAACTAGCTGTGGTAATTATTACCACTGTTCATTAGTCCAGATAACTCAACTAATCATAGCCAAACAAAAACAAATGTAAATCCCCCAATTTCTCTTTTTGGACACACAACTGGAAAAAGTGTAGAAATCCTAATTCTCATTATATATACCTTGCAAACAGTCCAACTTTTCAGTTGAAATTGGTGTGACCTATAAGTCTGTTAAATAAAGGAAATAAACTGTCCTTTATTTTTGGTGCCTTCAAGTGAGTCTTAATTCCTGACCACCACCTGGACAAGTCCTTGTTCTCACCAAGTTTTCAGAAATAGTTTGCCATTGCTTCCTTTCAAGGCTGAGAGAGGGATTGGTCCAAGGTGACTAAGCTGGCCTTATGACTAAGGTGAGATCAGAATTCAGCATCTCCTGAGTTTTAGCCTGGCTAAAATGCAGTTTTAAAATGAGTTTAAGCTGGCTCTCTTGCGAAGTCTCTTAAGGTAGTGCAAATCAACATCATTTTGAGTCAACCACTGAAATCCGTTTAAGTTCATGCATAAATGTCCCAAAGGTGCTCATTCAGGAGGCAACTGGACTTTCTTGTTTTTCTTTGAACACGTTTCACTTCACCTTTGTCTTTTAAATGTAGAAGGACTGCTGAAAAAAACACATGGCACAGCATAGGAGAACAAACCCATCAGGACAAGATTCAGCAGTCCATCTGTATTTAAAAGACAAAGGCCATTCTTTTGAGCAAAGTCAACATTTTGGACAGAAAGGACTGCTGGTTGAACAGCCCTCTCTCAACAAAAGGGGAAGGATATGATATTATCTATTGCCAGCCTACAATACAGTCCTTTCAGCAATTCCAAGAAGACTCCACACCCATTTGCTGCACTGCTCAGGTGACCCTGAGGACATAGACAAACCTGCAAGTGGCCTCAACAACTCTATAAAAGAATGCAAATGTCTGCAAGGAATACAAATCCTCCCATTCCCTACCATTCAGTCAGAGCTGTAGAAGCTTCTTGGATGAGAAGCGAAATGTCTTCAAAGAAAAACAAAAAAGTCCAGTTGCCTCTTGAAAAAAGCACCCTTGGGACAACATGACCTGGATGACTGGGAATCTCCGTAGACATTCATGCACAAATCCATCTATAATCTTTGATTGATTATGTGCCATCAAGTCATTGTTGATTCTAGTGATCACATTGATAATTCGGTTGGAAAGAAGAGAGAAGCAATCTGGAATTAAGTAGTCTTGGCAAGATTTTTGGGAAGTGGTTTGCCATTGCCTTCCTTCCTGGAGTGGGGGGCTTTTATTTTATTAAAGATTTTTTAAACGACCAGCCAATTATAAAAAAAAATGATACCAACTAATATAAAGTAGGAAAAAGAAAAGAAAAAGAAAGAAATCAAAGAGAAAGCTAAAAGTGCAAGAAAGAAAAAGGTTAAAGAAAATTAGAAAAGAAAAGAAAGAAAGAAAAACATACAAAGAAGTAGCTTCTGTTCTTACAGACAAAGACAACTATAAGTTTATCTCTTATTTTATGGTTACAACATAACTCTCTTCCTACAATCTATCTTATCTAATCATAAATCATATTTTTTTCTTTTTTATGCAAAAAAGTCCACAAGAGTTTACCAATCAGTAATAAATGTAAATACTGCCTTTACTCTGAAAAAAAAGTCAATTTAGCTATTTCAGCAAGTTCCATCACTTTTAACAACCATCTCTCTATTATGAGTAGTACCTTCTTTTTCCATTTTTGTGTATACAATAATCTTGCTGTAGTTATCATGTACAATTCCATGGCTTTTTTTCCCAACTGTTTGTTTAACATCCTTTGGTCTCAATTGTACATTAATCTGTAAAACTCTCTAAATCAGTGAGTATATGTAAATCCAGAATTTCCTAGCGTTTTATATGTCTACCAAACATTAAAAAGGTCCCTTTTTGTTGTTCACATTTCTAATGTAAATTTATACATTCTAGACAATTTCTTTGGTGACATATATCAATTATACATCATTTTATAAACATTCTTTTTTAGATTATAACCTTGTGTAAATTTCAATAATTTCAACCCTGTATGTTCCCATTGATCCATCTGTATATTTTAACCAAACATTTAGCCCAGTTTTTCCATAGATTGTTCTTCTGTTTCAAGTTTCAGTAAATGTTTATACAGTTTTGCATTACCTGTGTGCCACCTTTGTATACAATTATATTTCAAACTCAGTCTTACAATGATCAGAAGTACAGAAGTCTTTTGTCTACTTTAAATCTTTCTAGTAACTATATAAGAGAATCACTCTGCCATCAGTTGTTTTCTTAATTTCATTTTGTATTCATCCTGTCAAAATTGTAATATCTCATAATAAATTAGCCATTTGTGTTTGCCTATTACATCTTGTCGACAACATGCTTCTTGTGCTAAAAGCACACCATAGTGCTTGTGGTACAACTTGGGTTTCTATCTATTCCATATTCTCAGTCTTGCATATCTAACATAATGATTTTTTAAATCCACATTAATTTTCTTCCTTACCGTTGGTTAGACTTCTCTTATGGATATATACTGTCAGTTTTGGCCTTGCTGCATGTTCTCCAATTTTGATCTCCAAAGTCCTCAATTTCCGAAGTTTGTCTTCTCCAATGCTGTGCCAAATTTGTTTTCGCAGCTTTCAACACAGATCTGTGTGATATTTTTCATTTAGGGTTTTTGGAATGATACCTAATTAGACTATTTGTCTTTTCAGTTCAAATTTTATTTTTAGGACCTTTCTAAATATTTGGATGTCTTTCTTCCAATACTTTTGGGACTAATGTTGCCATGTATGATAAAATGTTCCTTTTTTTGTTATGGCATTTATAACAATCTTTTTTTATTCTTTATCATCCCTAGGGGAGCAAAGCTGTGCGTTGTGAAGACTAAAAGAAAAGAGAGACAAGCAGAGACTCTCACACAAGATTATATTATAACACGTAGGTTTCTTTTGAATCCTTAATAAGTATAGATTTTTTTTTTATCTTGATGTATTAAGACCCTAATACAAAGGGTCATAAAAGACTTTTTAAAAAGAACTAAAGTTGCTTATTAGCTGTTTGGTGGAGGAGAGGGAAGTGGGTAGCTTTATTCAGTACCACCGCTATGTGCTAAGCTTTTAAAAAAGATTCTGTTCAATTTGTCCCAAATATAAGATCAGAAAATGGAATCTTCTCCAAAACCTTTAGTTCGATTTTTAGGGCCGGCTACTAACCCTTACCGGAATACTTTACTATATTTTGCAAACAATTGAAACCATACGCGGGATTCCAGTTTTACAGATCCTTTAAACATACAATATTTTCTCTTTTGGATGCTGCCTTAGATTAAAACACGGTACTTAAATTGATTTTTCTCAAAAAGGCTGGCTCAAAGAAGAGATTTCTCTCTTCCTCCCACTTCTGGGGGCTTGCTTGCAACAGTAGCTTATTGCTATGGCTTGCGTTTATAATCCAAACATGTTTTTGTCTTTTGTTCTTCCAAACTAGAGCATAATCACAATAAATTTGGAAGTTCTTTGAGGAATGTATTGGTTTTACTGCTATCACCAAACCTTTCCCTAATTTGAAAATACTTTTGTTTTTCTCTCCCATTTGTATTTGGGTGAAATATGGAACAAAAATCCTCTTTTTTAATATTTGAAGGGGTGATGTGTGTTTTTTTCCCCCTGTTTTTGTTTTGTTGGTGCTCAAGTCAATATTGACTTTTAGCATCTTCCTGGACAAGCCCCTGGATTATTCTTGCCGTTTTTGGAAGTGGTTTCATGCCGTCGCCTTGTTCCTAGAGCTGAGAGACAGTGACTGGCCCAAAGTTCTCGATTGGCTTTGTGGCTAAGGTACAAAGACTCTCAGTTTATAATTTGATGTCGGTAACCACTATGTTACACTGGCTTTCTAAGTTTTACTAATATAAAGTTGGTGAAAAGGTTTGGGCTAGAAGACCTCCAAGGGAATCCCCAACCTTTGAGGCTTGGCTTAACCCGCCGGCCCGCCACTTGCACAAGTTGATGCCAGACGTTTACACATCCAATTCCGGATAGGCCACGACCTAGTAGTGGGCTGTGTAGCCTGGGGTTTGGGGACCCCTGGACTAGAAGACCTCCAAAGTCCCTTCCAAGTCCATTATTCTGTTATTTCTGAGACAGGTTCCCTTAAAATTACAATTTAGGTTAACTTCTTAAGAATATTTTCTGTACTCTCGGAGCAAGATCACACTTAGTAATTTCTACTGTACAAAGTAATTCCCTCAACATAAGAGGCATTCTACACTCGTCTCATGCCTAGACATAATGTATATGCCTTGCTTAATCCCGGCTAGTCAACTGAATGTGCTACATCTAGAAGACTATGAGATTATCTGCCTAGTTCAAGATTTTCAGTTTACAAGTGTAGGTGGAAAAAGAAAATGTTGGACGTTGTGTAACATTTAAAGCTCTCTGTTTTTAAATATGACATTTCCCTTTTTATCCACGTGAAGCTCATGCACTTCCAATGTTTCGGGAAGCACGCCAGCGAAGTACAAGAAAACAGCTGGAAAAGGACAGAATGGATCCTGTGAAATCTCACAAACCGGAACCTCCAGTAGCAGGACCAGGTAACCAGATTTTTGAAATCTGCTGTCAGGAAAATACTGTAGAAGCCATTAGTTGCTTATTTCATGCAATCATAGAAAGCAAAAGTTGTAGAGTACATGGGAGATTATCTAATTCACCTCTCTCTCATGCAAAACCTGATTACTAAAGCACCCTGGAGAGATGTCCATCCAATCTTTACTTAAATATCTGTTGCAAAAGACAGTTTACTATCTAATAGTCTACTCTGTTGTGGCATAGTTGTTAATGTTGTGGAATTTTTCCTGAAGATCATCTGTTCTCATTCATATTCTAATTTAATCCCATTGTTTCTAACCTTGTCTTCTTGTTCTTAAAAATTCCGAACAATCTTGCCTCATCTAGTTTATTTATTTAATTCATGTATATGCCACTTTGTGTGTAAAGTCTTGGAGCAACTGACAAGTAGCAAGATTCATAAAATATATTTTATTTCTGTGATAAATAATATTCTTATTGTAGTTGCAACATTGGAATTTTCTACATAACCATCTTTCAAGTACTTGAATGCAGCTACTATGCTTTTCTTAAAATTAAAATTTCTATTTCCACACTAAACATGCCCAATTTCTCTACTGATGCCTTATTCTCCCCCCCCCCCATATTCCTGAATTAGTTTATCTATGTCCTTCCTAAAATGGGGTCCTAGAACTAGACAGTATATTCTAGGTGAAATATAATCAAAGAAGGGTTGAGAGGGATAATGACTTACATTGTGGAAGATCAAATGAACTTGATAAAAGCAAGCATAAACTATTAATTATAAAAAATGTAATGTAATGCTGATGCACTAGAATATTCAAATTTTTATATCTCTGTATCTCTGTATCTCTCTATCTATCTATCTATCTATCTATCTATCTATCTATCTATCTATCTAGAAAAAGAGAGATTTCCTTAATATCTATCCTATTTGGTTTTACATTTTTCAAAACTGTTTATTCTTTGTTCTTATTAGGCCGTGGTGGTCGTGTTGGAACGCATGGAGGTACTCTGTCATCATTCATAGTGAAGAATATTGCATTGGATAAAACTGATGATAGCAATCCCCGAGAAGCTATTTTGCGACATGCAAAAGAAGCAGAAGAAAGTCCCTACTGGGTTGCTCCAGCATATTCCAAGTAAGCAAATTTTATAAAGCAGGAATTGGATAATATGCCTTAAACTCTGGTGGGGTTGAATATAAGAAGAATATCTATTTAAAAATACTATCTTCCATTTTGTTTCCATAGTTCTAACTTTTGCTGAAAATTGTAACAGTATCAATAAGTTGTACTAAAATGTCTTGATATATTTAGAATAGAATAACAGAGTTGGAAGGGACCTAGTAGGTCATCAAGTCCAACCCCTTGCTCAAGTAGGAGATCCTATTATACCATTTCTGACAGATGACAATCCAATCTCTTCTTGAAAGCTTCCAGTGATGAAGCTCCCACAACTTCTGAAGGCAAGCTGTTCCATTGGTTGATTATTCTCATTGTCAGAAAATTTCTCCTTATTTCTAGGTTGAATCTCTCCTTGATTAGTTTCCATCCATTATTTCTTGTCTGGCCTTCAGGTGCCTTGGAAAATAGCTTGACCCCTTCCTCTCTGTGGCAGCCCCTCAAATATTGGAAGGCTGCTATCATATCTCCCCTGGTCCTTCTCTTCACTAGACTAGCCATGCCCAGTTCCTGTAACCATTCTTCATACGTTTTGGCCTCCAGTCCCCAGTCATCTTTGTTGCTCTTCATGGGCAAACATTTATATGTTATACATATCAGAAATATTTTCCCTCTACATGTTTTACAACAATACATTGAACAGTTGTTGGTCATCCTGCCCTAAAGCCCACAGTCAGAATTCAGAAGGATTATTGTTTCAAGAGGGCAGGTCACATTATGGTTTCTTATTAGCGACATAGATGGGTAAGAATTAGGAGGAGGGAAGTCTAACATGTTCATTTACATTATCGTATTACAATGTTCAGGTGAGAAACATTAGAGCAATAACTAGTATTGTACTTCACACCAACCTACAATGTGACGGCAAAGAAGCTATTATGAATGAAGGCAAATATATGTGTCCCAGGATAATGTTGCAGGATCCAATCTGGGTTGGTCACGGGGAACAGAGGTTTAGTCTTCTGAGCTTTCACACTTCTGCTGGAGCCCATTCTTAGGGAACTTCTCTGTACCAGAACATGTAAGAGATTCTGGTGAGAGAGAGAAATTCCCTGAGGATGGGGGGCTCCAGGAGAAGTCCGAAAGCTCGGAAAACTAAACCTCTGATCCCAGTGACCGACCCAGATTGGATCCTGAATTGTGACTGTACTACTGTAAAACAGGCTTGAATACTAAAGTTTTATAAACTACATACTACAGGAAAAGCATAGCCATAGGTGTAAGCATACTTCAAATTCTGTTGATAAATAGTTAATCACCAGTCATTATCTTGAGTATATTAAAGAGAATAAGGAAAAGGCAGGGGCTGATGTGGATGGAAAATAAATTAGAAAAAGGAGAAAGCACAAAATGGAATTAGAAAAGGGTGAGTTAGGATCAGAGCCATCTAAATCCTGAAATTAGAGCTGATCTGAATGCCAAAACTGGATTAAATACATTATACAGCCATTCTTCTCATGAATTATTTTCCCCTATAAATGTATACATTAAAAATAAGTAAATATAGACAGCATAAAATTTATAAGGGATATTCAGTCTTCCTTTTCCATAGGCTTGTACAGCTTAAGGAGAAAGAGCTCATCTTCATGCCAGAAATTGGATTAAACACATTATATGGCATTTATATTCCTTACAGACAGCTGGTCATCTGCATTCTTTTAGAGAGTCATTGAGGCCACTTGGAGGTTTATCTATGTCCTCAGGGTCACCTAAATAGTGCAAATAGGTGTGGAGCTTCTTTGCAACTGCTGAAAGGACTGTGTTGTACAACCCAAATGACCAGTCTGCAAGGAATATAAATCCTTCCATTCCCCACCATCGAGTCAGAGCTGAAGAAGCTTCTTGGATGAGAAGTGGTCTTCAAAGAAAACAAGAAAGTCCAGTTGCCTCTTGAAAAAAAGCACTTTGGGGATAAAAGAAATGATATCGAATTAGATGCTACATGTATTCATTTTTCTAACATTTTGGCCTGATTACAATTGTGTCACATGAAATATAAATGGAACAAAAACTCCTCAAAAGGGGGAGAATCATTATTTGAAAGATTAAAACAAGCTATAATTTACGTGCAAGCAACACATATTAGAAAAAAGGGTATAAAATATTTGATTTTAAAAAAAATTATTGAAGAATTTATTTCAACAGGAATAAAAGAAGAAGAAAAGGAATTGTTTTGCATATTAACCTTCAATTACAACCAGATCATATCACTGATGAATATAGCAGCTATGTTGGGGCAGAAATTAATTTTCTTGCTCTTAAGACTCTGATATTGCAAATTTATGCCCCAAACGAGCCTAAAGCAAAGTTCTGTATAAAACTTATGGACAGATTAATGGACTTTTCTAATGGATATCATGTCATTGGAATGGAATGATATCCCCAAATTAAACATAAAAATATTAAAGTTACTCAAGTAACTACCGTTTCTTTGTTGTTTGATGGACAATTTAGACTTTGTTCACACAGGGGGCATAAAAATGGCAGTTCAAGACAGTAGAATAGAATAGAATAGAATAGAATAGAATAGAATAGAATAGAATAGAATAGAATAGAATAGAATAGAATAGAATAGAATACTTTATTGGCCAAGTGTGATTGGACACACAAGGAATTTGTCTTGGTGTAAATACTCTCAGTATACATAAAGAAAAGGTACATTCATTAAGAATCAAGAATCATAATGTACAACACTTAATGATAGTCATAGGGTACAATCAACAATCAAATCATACTAGGATAGTATACTTATTATTCAGAAAGACATAGATCAATGGTTCTCAACCATTTAGTTCATCACCCTTTAAATATCTTTTGTGCCACATAACCTGGCCACAGTTCACCAAGACTTAACTCAAGGTTTAAACCCTAACATTTCTTCAAGCCTTCACGGATCCCGTGACAACATCATGGCCCCCAAGGCAGGGGTGAGCTTCAAATTTTTTAGCAAGGGGCTCTCTGTCCTAATGACTGGCTGGGTGGGTGTGGGTGGTCATGTGATCGGGTGGGCGTGGCTGTGTGGTCATGTAACTAGGTAGGTGTGCCCAACTCAATGTCGCTTCTTTGCCTTAATTACCTAAAAAAAGATATATACCAAAAAGTTGTTTATTATTTCGTGCATGTAATACTTAAATAAAAGACTGGGTGAAACCAGGCTTAATATCAGTGATTGTGAGAGGTATCTTGGAGTCTTAGTGGAGTTTCTGGTGAGTTATGTGATTCTTATTATTTGGGAATTAATCCCCTCGGAGGCTAGTGGCTATGTTATCTGATTTTTTCAATGGCTCTTCCTAGCAAGCACTGAGTGGTTTGTTTATCTAGCTTGCAACACTTTTATAAGGTATGAAATGCTCTTGGCTGAATGCCCAGATGATCAATTAAGCCTATTAAGAGCTTTCCCTTACTGCTTGTCTTTCTGAGGTTATTGGGGGCTCTCCAAGCCCCGCAGAGTCTTAGTTAGGGACTTTCCTGAGCCCCTGTAAGCCCCCAGCAGCCCACCCCTGCCCCCAGGGGTGTGCGAACTACAGTTTGAGAACCATTGATGTAGATCTTTTACAAGAATAGATATGATTTGAATTTTGAAGAATCTGATTACTAAGCTTTATAAAATAAATATTTTTTTTCAGACCATATTGAAATATACCTAAAAAGTAATTGATTTCATTGTCTTTAATATAACTATATTTCAGTTACATTAACACTGCTTGAAGTTTATTGATTACTATTTAATAAGCTATAGTTAAAAGTATTGACTAAAATGGAAAATGTCTCTGGAATAAAGAGCATCTGTAGTTTGTATCTAGCGAGATGTAAACTTTATGTTATATGAAATGACATCTTGATCAGGTGTGTCTTGAGTTTTTCAACTGGATTCAGTTTATGTTCATATGAAAATAGTTATTAGAATAGTGTGCAAACTTTCATCTAGAGGACATTGTCTACTTGTATAATAAGCCTGGTGATAAGATGTACTTTTTCTGACAGTTGCCATAATACAAGATCCCAGAAATACATTAATAAATGTTGTGAGGTATGTACATGTCTTTGATGTACGTTTTTATATGTCCCCTTAGTTATAATCCAGCTAAAAATCTGATTTTGGTAGATGAGAGCAGAAATCTTCTTAATCAGTCAAGAAGTGATGGAATATTTATTTGGGAGGAGGTTTTTTTCTTCTTCTCATTTTAAGAGCAAACCTGAACACTTCTGCAGAGCTCTTGTTTAATCATTATTGTTCTTTAATGCTTTTTTAGAACCCAGCCAAAAACAGTTTTTGCAGAAGTAGAATCTGATGAAGATGAAACGGACGACAAGCCAGAGTGGAAAAAACGTAAAATTTGAAGAATTTAAATTGGAGGAGCTTCACAAGGGATTTTGAGACAGAGATGAATTCTTTTTCCTTATGCAAAAGAAGTCAAATTACTGCGAGCAAAATTGCTTTTATGCAGAAGAATATTTTGCCCCTTTGAAAGACTATAATTGCCATAAAGTAAAATAGGATTGCTTAGCATAAAGTCTGTATTTTATTAAATAGCTAAAGTCATAAATAAAAAAGAATTATTTCTTCAAAGGCCTTTGTTTATGTATGTGTATCTTTAGAAGAGTAGATCATATTAACTTTTAAAAAAGCCCAATCCTCTTTTTTTCCTCCTTAAATTATTTTTTCATTTGCTGGTTTATCACCTAAACATTGTGACGATCTTGAATAATTTCTGCTCCATATTTGAATTCCATTATTTTGTTTGTTTGTTTATGAAAGCCACAATGTATGTCAATAATATGAATTGTAAATGGCACAGAATCTTATAGGCGGGTAGGCAAAGCATTTGTAATTGGAAACATTTCAACTTAAAAATGATTGTTTTGATATGCTGGAAATGCCCTGATGCAATTGTAAGCATTCTGGAATGTTCCAAGTTCAAAAAAGCTGCGTTTGGATCTGAAATCATAGATGTTTCAAATGCAGACTATATCTGGAACGGTGTCAGAATGTTCTTGGTTAAATTGGAATGGTCATTTTCAACTCAAAAGGTTTTGCACAGTACTAATCTTCTATTGGCAAGTTATTTCCACCAGATAGATAGATATATCATAAGATATCATTTCATAGATAACTTCTTTTTTCTAATGGTATGCAATAGAGTCCCTTTTTTAGGCCAATAGATGGTTATTTTGCTCAAAGAAGAAATCTTGCTATCGATGCATAATTGTCTGTGCATTTCTTGATTTCCTGGTTTTTATATGTTTGCTGATAATTTTAAGTTCTGGAATGTAATACAAAAATATTAATTTTACAACCAGTCATTGTTTCACAGAAAAATAAATTGCAAGAGACTGGTAAAGAATAGAAGGAAGCAAAAAAACCCATGGTCTTTATCTTTTCCTTCTGAAAGTACATATTCTTTGTTCTTGCTTCTAAATCAGAATTGTATTGTGACTTCTTTACTACTCTATAGCCAAAGCATTCTGTGTACCCCTTAAATATCACCCTGCAAAGGACCTTATTCATTGCCATCAAGATATATGTTTGTGGGAGCTGCAATTTTAGGAGTTTAATCCCACCCTATTACATTTGCTAAGCAGTATCAATCTTTCTTTTGATTCCTGGTTTGTTCCCAGATGTT